GATAGAACTTGACATTCTCTCAGTAGTCTGTTGAAATTCTGCCTTAGGGCGCGTTGTCAGAACATTATATAGCTTATGCTGTTGTGTAGGCTATAGTGGGGTATCCCATAAGGGGTACAACCCAATTAGGGTTTCCTATTTGTACTCACTTCATTTCATAGTTCACCCATTCTCGTTCTTCATTTTCACATGGAATCAGAGCAGGTCCCCTCCTAGGGACTGCTTCTAGGGCCCACCGAAGCGCGCCCCGAGGCGCGTTTTCCTTTTTTTTAGCGACCCTCCGTGTCGCCCCTTGCGGCCCCGCCGCCCTCCCTTCGCGGCCCCGCCACCCTACTAACGCGGCCCCGCCGCCCTTCCTTCGCGGCCCCGCCGCCCTGCTCGCGCGGCCCAGCCGCCCTCTGGGGTGCGGAGTCTGGGAGTGCTGAGCCTGGGGGTGCTGCGACTGGGGGTGCTGAGCCTGGGGGTGCGGAGTCTGGGGGTGCTGAGCCGTGGGGTGCTGCTACTGGGGGTGCTGAGCCAGGGGGTGCTGCGTCTGGAGGTGCTGAGCCTGGAGCTGCGGAGCCTGCGACCACTGGACCTCCCCTTGTGGCGTCTGGCGGTGCGGGACCTGGCGGTTCTCCGGGTGCTTCGCCTCGGCGGGAGCCCCTCTCTCCACAGGAGCTGCGCGAGTGGTTTGCCCGGCGCTGGAGGCGTGCTGCTGGAGCTGGAGGTTCTTCGGCTACTGAGGGTGCTGGTGCCGCGGGTCCCGGAGGTGCTGGAGCTGGAGCTGCTGAGGGTGTTGGCGCTGAGGCTACTGCTGTCGGTCCTGGAGGCGGTCCTGCTGGGGGTGCTACTGGTACTGCTGGAGGTCCTGGAGCTGGAGGTGCTGCTGGCGCTGGTGCTCCCGCTTGGGGTACTGGTGCTGTCCCTGCTGTGTCTGGAGTCGCCGCGCGGCCTAGACCGTACTTCGTTCCGCTCCTTCAGCAGGTTCTTGGTCTCCCGCCTTCTACTGGTCCTCCTCCTCCCTTAGAGTGTCCACAGCCTGTCCTGTCACAGTTCCAGCTACAGCCGGCCTCCCCACTGCCCGCTCCTTCTCCCTACACTGGTCCTACTGGAGGTCTTGCTGAGCGTCGTGAGCCTGCGTCTCGTCCTGCGTCGCCTGTCCGTGCTGCTCGCACTAGTGGTCGTGGTTCGCGTCAGCGTCCTCCTCCTGTCCCTGGCACGCACCGGATGTCTCTGCGTCCGTCCACTGCTCCTCTGCGTGCCCCTTTGCCTTCTCCTCCTGAGTCCTCTCTTCCTGCTCTTCCTGACCCGGAGTCGGACTCTCTTCGTGCTGCCAGTCCTGCTGTCACACGTCTCCTTGCTACTGTCGTCACTGACCCCTCTTTTGAGTCCACTGCTGCGTCTGCACTTGTTGCTGAGCTCGTCGACTTTGCTGCTCGCTGTCGTCTAGACTACGCTGCCGGTCTTGTTGCTGAGTCTGCGTCTGTCTGTCCTCCGTCCGTCGGGGGTGAGTGTGCTCTTGGCACGGACGTCCTTGAGGACAGGCAGGAGGAGTTCCGGTGTCTGGCTGCTGCTTCACCTCATCTCGCGTCCGTACTACTTGCCCCTGAGGGAGACCCGGATGCACTAGACATCCCGACTCCGCGCTCTTACGCGGAGGCCGTAGAGGGTCCCTACTCCTCTCAGTGGCAGGCAGCTATGGATGCAGAGATGGCGTCCTGGAAGTCCACAGGCACCTACGTTGACGCGGTTCCCCCTCCTGGGGCGAACATCGTCAGTGGCATGTGGATCTTCAGGGTGAAGCGGCCGCCGGGCTCTCCACCTGTCTTCAAGGCGCGGTACGTCGCTCGTGGCTTCAGTCAGCGGCAGGGAGTTGACTACTTTCAGACCTTCTCTCCCACCCCGAAGATGACCACTCTTCGGGTGCTGCTGCACATAGCCGCTCAGCGCGACTACGAGCTCCACTCTCTTGACTTCAGTACTGCTTTCTTGCAGGGTAGCCTGCACGAGGAGATCTGGCTGCGCCGTCCACCTGGCTTCACTGGGACTTTTCCTCCTGGCACCCAGTGGAGCCTCCGACGGCCAGTCTACGGTCTCCGCCAGGCACCGCGTGAGTGGCACGACACACTGAGGACTACGCTTGCGGCTCTTGGGTTTGCTCCCTCTACTGCTGACCCGTCGTTGTTTCTGCGCACCGACACTTCTTTGCCGCCGTTCTACGTCCTCGTGTACGTCGACGACTTGGTCTTTGCCACAGCTGACACTGCTGGACTAGCCTACGTGAAGTCCGAGCTGCAGAAGAGACACACGTGCACAGACCTGGGTGAACTGCGCAGCTACCTTGGCTTGCAGATCACTCGGGACAGAGCACGCCGCACCATTACCTTGACTCAGTCACACATGGTGCAGCAGGTCCTTCAGCGCTTCGGCTTCACGTACTCCTCGCCTCAGGCCACTCCTCTGTCTACTCGCCACTCGCTCTCAGCTCTGCCTTCGGATGAGTCCGTAGAGTCGAGTGGCCCGTACCCAGAGCTTGTTGGCTGCCTCATGTACCTGATGACCTGCACACGACCTGACCTTGCATACCCTCTTAGCATTCTTGCACGCTATGTTGCTCCTGGGAGACACCGACCAGAGCACATGGCTGCAGCTAAGAGGGTGTTGCGCTACTTGTGCAGTACGTCGGGCATGGGGCTAGTGCTTGGAGGGCGGAGTCCAGTGGTCCTCACTGGGCACGCGGACGCTTCTTGGGCAGACGACCAGGCTACACAGCGGTCGTCGCAGGGTTACACTTTCAGTCTTGGTTCCGGCTCTGTCTCGTGGCGGGCTACTCGCTCGTCCTCTGTTCTCAGCTCCAGTTGTGAGGCTGAGATCTACGCCGGGGCCATGGCTGCACAGGAGCTTCGCTGGCTCACCTACCTGCTGACTGACCTTGGAGAGCCGCCTCGTTCTCCTCCAGTGCTGTACGTAGACAACAAGGCCATGCTGGCCTTGTGTCGAGAGCAGCGCTTGGAGCACAGAACGAAGCACATTGCTCTCCGTTACTTTCTTGCTCGTGAGCTGCAGCAGCGTGGTCAGTTGCGACTTGCTTACGTGGCCTCTGAGGCCAACACTGCTGATGTGTTCACCAAGGCACTTGCGCCTTGTGACCATCAGCGCTTCTGCACCCAGCTGGGTCTTGTACCTGTCTTGCCTCACTTGCTCTCTTCTTGACCTTGCTTGTACTGTTACATATATATACCTGCTCTTGCTTGTCTAGCTCTATATATATATGTGTACTCCTGCATGTGAACTGGCCTTGTGGCCTTGTCGTTGTGCTCGGACTGTGTGGTGACTTTGTGATCCACCCTGAGCTTGCTCTGCTTTGCTTGACTGGTCTTGTGACCCCTTGTTCTCCCCCACTTTGCCTATGGGGGTGTGTCAGAACATTATATAGCTTATGCTGTTGTGTAGGCTATAGTGGGGTATCCCATAAGGGGTACAACCCAATTAGGGTTTCCTATTTGTACTCACTTCATTTCATAGTTCACCCATTCTTGTTCTTCATTTTCACACGCGTAACTTTTTTGCTTTTCATCGTCCGGACGGAGGCCCCGTCCGGACTTTTGTAGGGTTACTAAAATCGTCAGGGTTCGTCAAAAGGTTCGCTAGACCCCTCGCGACGTCGCAATCGTCCGTACGAAGTCTGACACTTTTCTGTCAGTTCGGCGTCCGTTCTACGCTACTGACACCGTACGGACAGGATTTCGGACCGTCCGGAACCCCTGCAACGTCATTGGTGCGCGAGACACATTTTTCATAATCAAACTTCCCACTCCAACTTTCCATTTGTTTGTGTGTTGTAGTCACAGTAGCGCGAGCAAGAGGACAAAGTGGTTGGAAAGTTCAAACATTACCGAGCCGCAAATGCATGCTTGCGAATTGGGTGATGTTGAGGCGAGGTAAGTTATGATCGTTAACTGTTTCGCACGAATTTTAAATTTCGAAACTGCAAAAAAGTGTCACAATTGTGGTACGGACGCTTCATCGTCCGAACCACATCCCCATCCGTCCGGACGGAGCCCCGTTCGGACGTTTTGGGGGCTCCGTACGGACATTTGACTAAAATGGAAAAAGTTACGCGCCCTTATACCAATATGATATCTAGCGCAGCTAGTACCATAAGATTTTATGTTTTCCACTTAACAACTACAATCTGCATCGGGCTGGTCCAGATAAAAATACACCATTTCTTGAAGGCGTTTCGGGAGGGCGGCGTCGCCTTAGCGACTCGGTTTGTTGACGCTGCATTACTTCCCTGCCACTGCCCCTTCACGCCGAAATCCGTCCGATGCAATTTTATCGACGGCTGGAAGTAATCGAAAATCTTGCAAGCTGCCCGAATATCTAATACATGGCGACCATTTTGCCACGCTTCTCATCCTCACCAAAAGACCCCTCGCAGAAATGAAAGTACTGTATATGCTGGTCGAGTGAAGCTCCTAGAACCAAAAAAGCAGCTACACAGTGTAGAGTTCCTATGCGAGATGGTACCCAAATACCCATTTAGGGGCCTGTTTTCCACACGTGTAAAGTTTTCTGAATGACTGAGGCTGGCATTGCCTTCCAGGCATTCTGGATGTGGATGCTAAACGTTTGTTGCACTTATACAACAGGTCCGAGTGTAACCTTAAGAGAGCCTGTGCTACAAAACATTGCTCACATTTGATGGTGAAGCTAGTGCAGCCTTGTTCTGGACAAGCTTGATGGGCAAGTGAGGGACACCCTCAAAGTCAGTGGTCAACTCAAGCACCAAACCATCAAACACCTGATAATCTCCATATCTTACAGAGGACGACTGTAAGTATCCCCAGATACTTCCACAGAACACCACGCCTGCTGGCAGAAGGTAGATACAGTATCCAACCTACTCAAAACCTACGCCTGATATGGCGACCACAAGCAACTACGAGAAGCACAGAAGTTGCCCTCCTTAGCAATATTAGTCCTGATACATGTGGTTGCCTTACCATAGTGCTCTACCTTGCAGGAACGATTTCAGCATATCGAAGTGTCAGGAAGGTTTGGCCAACAGATAACGATGCAAGGATCCGCAACGCACCTTGCACAGCTGACAAACATGGACCAAGGCAAAGGAGCAACGGAAAGACGGGGGCTTTAAACGGGGGTGGCGGAATGATGTCATTTGGTAGAGGGGGGTGATGGAAGACAAGACAATGTGTGGAAAGCGAAACAAGTGGTGAAGCAGGGAGTGAAGGTGAGACACAAGGGGTAGGAAAGAAATATTTCAAAGGAGCAGATAGCGGCAGAGGATGGCGGTAGGGGCGAGGTGGGGGGGGAAGGGGGAGGGGGAGGGGAAGTGGGTAGGTTAACTACACAAGGAGGAGGGCACATGGTGAGTAAATGCATAGAAGGGGGAACGCGCATGAGCGAGGGTAAGTGTCTGGGAGAGGGTAGATACATGGGAGAAGGAAAGATACATGGGAGAAGGGAAGACACATGGGAGAAGTGATGATACATGGGAGAAGGGTAGACACGTGGCATGGAGAGGGGTGGGGTTTGGTTGGGAGTGGTGCAGCGAGGAGGGGATCAGCTCGTGTCAAATAAACGTACCTGTGTTTTTTGTGCCTGTTAGGCGTCTATCTCCTTCCTGGCTGTCAGCCTTCATCCCCCTGCGCTTCTGTGATCTCGTCGTCCTCTGGCACGCCTCTCATGTACAGCACGTTGTTGCATCTGTGCGCCCGCGGGTTGGTTCACGTGACAACACAAAACGTAACACAGCATAGGGAGCATGCATGCGTAACACACAGATAAGACAAACCATTCCAGAACGCGAAAGGAGGGGAAGCCAATCAGCACGTCCAATCACAAGGCAATTCAAAACACACTCACTCAGCACGATCAGTGGAGAGGAAAGATGGGATGGCACAGAGTGAAGGAAAGCACAGATGGAGTGTGACATGTGCGGAATGCATGAAAAGACATATAAGCAGGGGAGTGGAAGATGGCGGACGACAGTAGAGCGGGAAGGCTGCATGCCTTGACGACAGCGAACAGGCGTGCCACAAGTGACGAGCGGAAAGAACGGCGAAGCGAAGAACATCATGCGAGAGAGCATGCGAGGCACGGGAGGAACGCAGGGACGCACCTGATGAGCACTTCACCAAGGCTTCCCATGAACTGACCGTCGATGTACTCTTCCGTGCTCGCTAGCTGCACCCATGGTCAGAGTAACACACGGAGCGATCATGGAGGACATCAATTACATTTGCAGTGACCTGATGCGAATCCGATATAACCGTATCGTTATCGTTACACCTTACAAAAGGTGGTACGTCATTTTTATTTGTTTTACCTGGAGGTTCATATAGGCGTCGACTGACATGAGATACCCTGCGAGAGTCAAACAATGCAATTAGGTCAACCAGGAGAAACAGATAGTCCGAAGGTCACAAAGACACAACCTTTATGTGTTATGCACTCACCTTTGTACTCCATGCCCCATTTCAATTTTACGATGACTTGCTTCCCCGTGAGATCGTTTAGGAACGGCTTAGGGTTTACTGGAACGGTCTGCGGAAACGCGAACGAAATAGAGGAGAACCTGCATCAAGAAGCAACTTTGAGCATTTTCCATTGCTAGAACAATGCGCAATCGAACTTACCGCCATGTTCTCGCTGTGGTGACTTGAAGAAAGTAACTCACAGCAACTAATTACGACCAAAGACGGATCAGGATGCAAGAGTTAGAGATCTCAGCAAATGATTAGCGAAGAGCAGATCATCCCCGTTACTGTGTGTTGATACTTTCGAGTTTGTTGCGGTGCGTGGACAGGAAGACGTTTGTGCGGTCCGGAGCGGTGCTTCCGCACTATTGAGGAAAAACGTATTTGCAATTTAGCGTATAAGAATTCAAAAATTCCTGCTTCAGCAGCCACCGCAGCAGACCGAACCGAAAGCCTCTTACGCTCGTCTCCAACGTGGCAGCATGTGAGAGCATCTGTGCTTCAGCGACGCCCCTTCCCCTGACTCTGCGAAGTTCCAGAACCACCTGGAGATCCAAGCGGACAGAACGAGAAATATCTCCTCCGCCTTCCTCCTCCCCATCCCATTACAGGTTGTCTTCAGGAAGAGCTGCTAGGCATACCATTTGATCTCCTTGCGATTGCACGGCCGATGCTTATTATGTTCTAATCACCTCTCCTGCACTAATATTTTGAGGCTCCCGAACATCTCTCGAAGTTCTTGGTTGCGAGGACTCTCTCCTGCGATCATTCGGCCTGCGAGACAAATAATTTTCTTTAACGCTACTTTTTCCTTTAGATTAGCTGTCACTGACCCCACCGTCCGAAGGTCACTCGAGATTCTTTGATCAGCGCTCCTGATTTTTTTTGTTTCGAGGCTTCGGATCGGTCTCTAACATCTGAGCTTCTCGTTTTTCTCTCATCAAAACCACCATGGGGTACGGGAATTTCGGCTGCTACATCTTGACTTTACCATAGATCGATAGACTTACCTTGGTTTAGTTGGTTTTGTTTGTGCATATCGATATGATTATTTGGGTTTTATCATTCAGTACTTCACGGTATTCCGCACTGACGATAACCTGCGTCTGGTTTGTGCAGCCGCCATCCAGAGGTGATCTGGGCTCAACGGTCAGACAACGTTATCATCACAGTCGAGCTCCCTGATGCTAAAGACATTAAGACGAATCTAGATCCTGAGGGGAAGCTATCATACTCAGCTAAAGCAGGAGCCGACGATCAAGACTTCGCCGTCGATCTCGAGCTGTTCGATAAAATTAATGTCGAGGTGCGTGGTTTGGCCAACATAGATCAGACTCATTCAGTTTTGACACTCAATTGCATTCTAAGCCAGTCATCTGGCTTCACATCTTACTGTTGGAAGGTACTCCGTTTGGCCATCGGTCCAGTCTTGACGATTGGGTACGTTATATCGTTATTGACGCAACTTTTATTTTTCGTGCTGACGATCTGCTTTCAGGAGAGCAAAGTGGTGAGCACGTCGCGGCACACGTTATTCATGGTGGTGAAGGCGGAGGCTAATTGGTGGCCGCGGCTGATCAAGGCGGCAGGACGAGCTCCGCCGTTCCTCAAGGTTGACTGGAACAAGTGGGTTGATGAAGACGAGGAGTCAAGTGCTAACCAATGTGAGTACAAGTGGGATAATGTTCGATCGTGAACAGGTTAAACAAGGAAGAGAACAAGACGAAAGTTCAAGGGGAAGCGAGTTTTGTTGTGTGTTTGGCACAATTGCATAACATCAACGTTTACGTGGCCATCGTTGCTGAAGCGTATGGCCTTGATGGCTGGTCGATCCAAGCTACTGTTGTCCTTCACATGCTCTGTCGCTGAATGGCACGCTTTCTCACGATTGCTCCCCATCAAACAGGATATAGCCATGTTTTCCCCCATGAAACAGGATATGCTACCGTATATCGCTCCTGTCTAAACAGGCATGTCATATCGCTCCCATATAAACCCTTCTATTTCCTCCCTCGCTTTGTCACTCTTGTTTTTTTGGCAGTGGATCCTGACTTCATGAAACAATTCCAGGTGAGGTCATATGAAAAGCAAGCTGTATGATCAATCGTGCTGCCACAGGTGTTGACAACATTTTTCTTCTGTAAATGCTGGGTCCATGGTTGATGCAAGTGTGTGGAGCTGCCATGGTTGCTTACATGCGACACACTCTTCCTTGTGCAAATAAATTGATGCATCTCGTTTTGCTTTGAGCTGCAGGGTGCTGGTGGCTTAGGTGGTGCGGGTGGCTTTGGTGGTGGTTTTGGAGGTGGTGATTTTGGAGGTGCTGACTTTGGTGGTGCTGACTTTGGAGGTGCTGGGCTTGGTGGCGATGAGGATGAGGACGAGGAGGATGAGGACGAGGAGGATGAAGGTAAGTGACTCTTTCATGCACTTGCGCCACCCACAAGCCCAGCCTTTCCTTTCTTCGAATCTCTCATCTGACCTACATTCTGAACTCCTGCCCTTGCTCCTTCTCCCGCCCCCGTTCTGAGCCTGTTTGGTCTTGTCTACCCAAACACCCCTGTTTCCCTCTTTTCCCCACCCCTCCTGGCCTCATCAACCGTTTCCTTCCCGTCGCATTCCCACCACATGCTCCAACACTGCTACTTTTATTTCCTTGTACTTGCAGACTTGGGAGACCTTGAGAAGTGATCTCACAACAAACAACTTCGTTCATCATGGATTGAACACCCATCTTCATACCGTATGAGGCTCAATGAAATGCTCATTAGGAGGCTGGGTGGAGCAGTTGAGTTTCCAGCCTGGAAATGAATTAGCTTGCTTGCCATGTTGTACGATTGGGCAACAGAGGCTGTACGTTTTATGGCACAAACCAGCCCACATTTTGACCTGCATGTGACTTTGGCTGGATGCTGTCTTGCTCCAATTTCACTACAAGAAGAAACAAGAGAAGGCACCAGTCCTTGTAACGTGGGTTTGTAGATGACTCTGGAACAACAATGCCTGAAGGAGGAGTAACAAAAGGCCTTGATTAGGAAAATCACTCTTGTTGATACTGTTTGAGAAGTCGTGAAGCAACGGGGATGTAGCTCAGATGATAGAGCGGTCGCTTAGCATGCGAGAGGTATGGGGATCGATACCCCACTTCTCCAAGTTTGCGGGGATAGCTCAGTTGGGAGAGCGTCAGACTGAAGATCTGAAGGTCGCGGGTTCGATCCACGCTCACCGCGTTTTGCCATAGAGCTCAAGAGTGCTTTAAAAAATCTGGAAAACCTGAGAGGGAGTCAACCACTTAGCAAAAAAACTGAGAGGGAGTCAACCACTTAGCAAAAAAACTGAGAGGGAGTCGACCACTTAGCAAAAAAACTGAGAGGGAGTCAACCACTTAGCAAAGAACCTGAGCTGGACAAAGCTTGTTCCGTTCAAATACACAGTGTTTCACCAAGGAAACAGCGTTTTCAAACCATGTCATTAGTGTACGCGAGAAAACTCCGATAGGATACATCGGCCATACTTACTCACTCCCCCTTTTCCTCTATTTTCTTCTCTATTTTGCCCCCAAACACTTTCCCTCTCCCCCTTCCATCATCTCTGAGTAACCACCTTCCTCTTTACGTTCTCCCCTTTCTCCCCCTTCCCCTTTCCCCCTTTCCCCTTCTCACCCTTCCCCTTTTCCCCCTTCTCCCCCTTCACCTCCTCTCCCCCCTCCTTCAACCCCATCTCTAGCTTCACCCGCACAGCCACCCCCTTCCGCCTCTCACAAAACATCTCCACAGCCTCCTCCCCCACCTCCCCGCCTTCCCCCACCTGCAGCCCCAACCGCCTCAGCTTCCCCGCTTCCCCCCGCGCAGGGGACTGCCAGGGGGCATCCCACCAGGCATAGGGCAGGGCGGGGGAGAGGGCGCACTGGGGGGGCTGCGCGGGGCAGGAGAGGCGACCTGAAAAGGTGTGCCAGGCGTGGCCGCGGCCCCCTTGGTTGGCCAAGCCGTTTTGAAGTAGATGCGAGTGGAAGGCGCTCAGTAGGAGGAAACGCGAGGCAGGAGGGGAGGGTGTGTCTTCTGTAGATGGGTAAGCGGGAAGGGGGGCGACATGGGAGAGGGGGAGGGGGGAGAGAAAGCAGGGAAAGCGAGAGGGTGAGAGTGAGGGAGTGTGGAAGAGAGGAGAGGGCGCACTGGGGGGGTTGGGCGGGGCAGGAGAGGCGGCCAGAGAAGGTGTGCCAGGCGTGGCCCCTTCCCCCCTGGTTGGCCAAACCGTTTTCCAGTAGGTGAGAGTGGAAGGCACTCAGTAGGAGGAAGCGCGATGAACGGGGGGAGGTGGCGAGCTGAGAGAAGGTGGTGAAGACCCTTGAGCGGCCTGCAGAGATGAAGGCGTAGCGCACCCGGGCAGGCTGAGCTGAGAGCCATCGCGCCTACCCAGAAACAGCCATACGTCAACACGCATCAGAAGCAAGGGAAGCGGCAAGCTGAGAGAAGGTGGTGAAGACCCTTGAGCGGCCTGCAGAGACGAAGGCTCTTTGAGCACTCTACCATGCCTTGTGGTGACTCACCTAGGCTTCTAGCAGCGGCAAGGGAAGCAGCAAGCTGAGAGAAGGTGGTGAAGACCCTTGAGCGCCCCTGTGCCTTGATGCATGCAGGGAAACCGGCACTTGCATTAGCAGAGCACACCACGCACTCTACATACAGCACGTCACGACTCACCTAAGCTCCTGGCCGCGGCTACAGAGGTGGCGAGCTGAGAGAAGGTGGTGAAGACCCTTGAGCGCCCCTGTGCCTTGATGCATGCAGGGAAACCGGCACTTGCATTAGCAGAGCTCACCACGCACTCTACATACAGCACGTCACGACTCACCTTAGCTCCTGGCCGCGGCTACAGAGGTGGCGAGCTGAGAGAAGGTGGTGAAGACCCTTGAGCGCCCCTGTGCCTTGATGCATGCAGGGAAACCGGCACTTGCATTAGCAGAGCTCACCACGCACTCTACATACAGCACGTCACGACTCACCTTAGCTCCTGGCCGCGGCTACAGAGGTGGCGAGCTGAGAGAAGGTGGTGAAGACCCTTGAGCGCCCCTGTGCCTTGATGCATGCAGGGAAACCGGCACTTGCATTAGCAGAGCTCACCACGCACTCTACATACAGCACGTCACGACTCACCTAAGCTCCTGGCCGCAGCTACAGAGGTGGCGAGCTGAGAGAAGGTGGTGAAGACCCTTGAGCGGCCTGCGGAAATGAAGGCGTAGCGCGCCCAAGTGGGCTTAGGGACCTTGTAGCTGGCTACCAGAAAACAGCCATATGCCAACACGACTCACCTAGGCTCCTGGCAGCAGCGAGGGAAGCAGCGAGCTGGGAGAAGGTGGTGAAGACCCTTGAGCGGCCTGCAGAAATGAAGGCGTAGCGCGCCCGGGCGGCGAGGAAAAAGTCGACCAATGCCACCCAGCGGGGCAGAGGGCCCCAGTCTCGCACCCGGAAGGATGGTAGCTGCGGGGGAAAGCGGGGGGAGAGGGGAGAGAGGGGAGACAGGGAAGAGAGGGTAGAGATAGGTCTTTGTGGTGACTTGAATAAGGGCCCAGTCAGTCCCAGTCGACCAACGCCACCCAGCAGGGCAGGGGGCCCCAGTCTCGCACTCGGAAGGATGGGAGCTGCGAGGGAGAGGCGGGGGGGGAGGGGAGAGAGGGGGGAGGGGGGGAACGGAGAGAGGGGAGACAGGGAAGAGAGGGTAGAGATAGGTATTTGTGGTGACTTGAATAAGGGCCCAGTCAGTCCCAGTCGACCAACGCCACAAAGCAGGGAAGAGGGCCCCAGTCTCGCACCCGGAAGGATGGTAGCTGCGAGGGAGGGAGAATGTGGGGAGGGGAGAGAGGTGGGGAGGGGAGAGAGGTGGGGAGGGGAGAGAGGTGGGGAGGGGAGAGAGGTGGGGAGGGGAGAGAGGTGGGGAGGGGAGAGAGGTGGGGAGGGGAGAGAGGTGGGGAGGGGAGAGAGGTGGGGAGGGGAGAGAGGTGGGGAGGGGAGAGAGGTGGGGAGGGGAGAGAGGTGGGGAGGGGAGAGAGGTGGGGAGGGGAGATAGGTGGGGAGGGGAGAGAGGTGGGGAGGGGAGAGAGGTGGGGAGGGGAGATAGGTGGGGAGGGGAGAGAGGTGGGGAGGGGAGATAGGTGGGGAGGGGAGAGAGGTGGGGAGGGGAGAGAGGTGGGGAGGGGAGAGAGATGGGAAGGGGAGATAGGTGGGGAGGGGAGAGAGGTGGGAAGGGGAGATAGGTGGGGAGGGGAGAGAGGTGGGGAGGGGAGACAGATGAGAAGAGGAAGTGAGCGTAATACAAAAACAAGGGTAAAAGAAACCAGGTTGCAAGCAAGTTGGTGAATTGTTACAACAAAGTTCTCAAAACATAATTAACATTGTCTTTCCAGGGGTTGCAATAAAGATGCCTGCAAGTATAGTGAAAGCGTGTTGAAACTCGGCAGTGCTGCCTACTGATTTTTTAGGCGCCTCAAGAATCGTCTCAAAGATCTTTTGAGGCGCTTCAAAAGGGTGTTGAAGCTCAGTAGTGCTGCTGCTTACTGAAACGTTCTTTGCAGAGGCAAGGGAGCTTTCCGGGTGACTTTTGAGGCGCCTAAACAATCGACTCAGTAAAACGATGCTGAATTTTGGTAGTGCTGCTCGCTTACTGATTTATTCTTTGCAGAGGCGAGGGGGCTTTCCGGGTGTCGACGTACAAACTTGGCGTGGTCAAAACGAATGATCTGACGGGAGAACAAGACGGAAAGTGGGGAAAAGACAGTGAAAGAGAGAGAAAGAGTTGGAAAGGAGGAAGGGACAGGGCGGAGAACAGGCAGGAAAGCAGGAGACACAGGAACAATGGGGGGGAACGATGGGGGGGAATGGGGTTGGGGGAAATAGGGGTAAGAGGGCAGTGTGGGTAACATGCAGAGAGCAGGCATGGAAGGACACGGGCCCATGAGGAGAGACGGGGAGCAGAAAGACTTTTGAGACGTCGCGAAAGTTTTGACATGTCTGAAAACGTGAGGGAGATCAGAGAGACGAATGAGCTGGATACGAAGAGTGGCGAAAGGGAAGGGAGAGGGAAGAGGTGCTTGGGGTGCGAGGGGGAGGACCGGGGAAACAGGGAGAGGAGAAGGAGAGGGAGGAGAGAGAAACAGGAGAAGGAGAAGCAATGGGGAGGGGACCACACTGGGGTGATTCGGCGCCTCTTGAGTCGATTCAAAAAGCACGGAGGGGCAAGGCCCACCCACCTTGGCAAAGTCAGACGTCACGGCTCCAATCTTGCGCACCACGCTTGGGTGATCCGCTTATGGTTTGACTCGACTCAAACACAGGCCCGCCAATATTCTAATCGGTTGAAAAGGCAGGGAGAAGCAAGGCCCACCCACCTTGGCAAAGTCAGACGTGACAGCTCCAATCTTGCGCACCACGCTTGGATGATCTGCCACCACCACCCTCAACGTGTCCTTATCGCTCACTGCTTTCTTGCTCATTGCTTTCTTGCTCATTGCTTCACTGCTCACTGCACCCTCCAGGACCCACCTTGGCAAAGTCGGACGTGACAGCTCCAATCTTGCGCACCACACTGGGATGATCCGCCACCACCACCACCCTCAACTTGTCCTTATCGCTCACTGCTTTCTTGCTCCCACTCCCTCCTTTCTTATTCCCTTCCCTATCCTCATCCCCTGCCGCCGCCGCCCGATCCTGTTGCTTTCTCAGTTTCGCCTTCGTCTCTCCCTTCTTTGCCTTCCCCGATTTCAATTTCCCCGCCTTTCCAGCCTTCTTCTTTCCCTTCTTTGACCTCCCCATTTTCGTCTTTCCCGTTTTCGTCTTTCCCTTCTTTGCCTTCCCGTTCGCCTTGCCCATCATTGTCTTTCCCAACTCCTCCCCATCTCCACCCACCGCCTCCCCTCCTCCTCCATCCCCTCCTCTACCCTCTGCCTCCAGCAATCGTCTGCCTCTGCCCCACCGAATCCTCCCCTTCCCCCACGCCAGCAACCTACTCCCCATACTGCCTGCTGCTGCTACACCTGTCGGTCTCATCCCTGCAACTGCTTCACCTCCTGCTGTTCCTGCTGTCCCTGCTGGCCCTGCTAATACTGCTCCGGCCATTGCTGTTTCTACAGTTGCTCTCACAGCTCCTGTTGATGCTGGCAGTGCTGGCAGTGGTGCTGCTGTTGCCTCTGCTGCTGGAAGAGGTGCTGTTGCTGCTACCGTTTGTATTCTTTGATGTGCGTCTGCTTGCTCCTTCTGCTGCGCGTCCTGCTGCTTCACCCTATGAATGTGCTCCAGGGCCTTTCTCAGGCAGAGAGCAGCTGCAGAAGCCACTGACTCCAGCCTGCGACGGGGGAAGATAGGAGGGGGAGGAGTGACAATGGAGGTGCCTCAGTGAGTGTGCTTCACCTCCTGCTTCACCCTACGAATATGCTCCAGGGCCTTTTTCAGGCACAGAGCAGCCGCAGACGCCACGGATTCCAGCCTGCAAAGGGGAAGGAGGACGAGTGACGACTTGTGAGCAACCCTCCTCTCCACTTCCCATTCCACCCATCTCTTTTCACTCCACCCAAGCCAACCTATGCAAACCCAAGCCAACCCATGCACCATCATAGCAACACATACCCAAGCCACTCACCCGCCGTGCCAGACGTGAATCACCACATCGGCGTCCCTCCCTTACGAAGCATAGTCTGCCCTACCTATTTCAAACCAACCCAAGCCATCCTCACTCTATCACACACCAATTTCCGCCACTCACCCGCCGTGCCGAAAGTGAATCACCACGTCGGCACCCCTCTTACTAAGGAGAGTCTGCCCTACCTATATCACACCAACCCAAGCCATTCCACCCATCACTCAACTCAACCGCCGTGGCGGAAATGAATGACCCCGTCGGCGTCCCTCCCTCCACTCCCCAGCGCCCATCCCACTGCGTCCGCCACCGCTGGCGTGGGCAGCAGCAGCAGCAGCAGCAGACAGACAAGCCCCTCCCTCTTTCCCATTCCAATCACAACCACCCACACAAACATTAGCCACTCACCCGCCGTGCCGGAAGTGAATGACCACATCGGCGTCCCTCCCTCCACTCCCCAGCGCCCATCCCACTGCATCCGCCACTGCTGGCGTGGGCAGCAGCAGCACGCGCGCAATCTCCCCAAACAGGTTGGGGCGCGAGTGGGGGTCCCAGGGGAGGCCCATCACAGCCTGTGCTCTCTCCCGCATGGATGGGTGCAGGCTCTTCAGAAAGGTCTGAATGGGTACTGAGTCCAATGCATCGTCTAGGCTGGATGGGGGTGAGATGGAGCAGGAAACAAGGGACAGGACTAAGGGTGAGAGGGGTGAAACAGGCTATTTTCCCTTAACAGGTTCGAGCGCGAGTTGGAGTCCCAGGGGAGGCCCATGATGGCGTGTGCCATCATCGGGGGAGAGAGCAGGGAAATACATGGGGCGGGAAAAGGGGGGTGGGATTACAGCGCGAGTACGGGTCCCAGGGCACACCCATGATGGCGTGTGCTCTCTCCCGCATGGCCGGGTGCAGGTTCTTGAGAAAGGTCTGAACGGGTACCGAGTCCAATGCATCGTCCAGACTGGGGTGGGGTGAGGAGAGAGGGGGAACAAAGGGAAAGTAAGGGGAGAACCAAGGAAGAGGAAGGTGAGAGGAGGGGGGAAGCAAGGGGGAGGACAGTGAGAAGGAGGGGCCAGAAATGGGCCAATCAAAGGCAGGTCTTCTACTCCAAAACCTTCTCTCTCACATGCACACACACACACCAGGTAACGGGCTTCTGCCACGTGGACCAATCATCATAAGGTGACTCTCGAGGTGACCAATCAAAGGCGCTTCTTTTACTCCCACTGGCTGCTGCTCACTCATATGCACTCATGCACGCACCAGATAATGGGCTCCTGCCACGTGGACCAATCATCACACATTGTGCGCGACCTCGCCCGGTTGGCAAACGAGTCAGTCCGCACCACCAGAGGCCGCCTGTAGCGCCGCTCGCAGTCGTGCTGATACCAGAGGTGTCTCAACTCGAGCATGGAGAATACTTCCGGGGAGAAGGCGAGATAGTCCTTCCATAGCCGCTGCCCCACTGTCTTGTTGCTCTCCATCAGTGGCCGTGTGCCACTGGGGGTGGAGAGGGGGTAGAGAGAGCAAGGAGGCAGCGGTAGCTGGTGGTGGGTGGTGAGACGCAAGAAAACACGTGTGGTGGTGCCAGAGGTGCCTGAGCCCGAGCATGGAGAAGACTTCCGGGGAGAAGGCGAGATAGTCCTTCCATAGCCTCTGGCCTACTGTTTTGTTGCTCTCCATCAGTGGCCGCGTGCCACTGGCAGGGGAAAGGAAGAAGGGGGAGGAGGGGGAGGAGGGGGAGTAGAGGTTGCCAGAGGTGTCTGAGCTCGAGCATATGGAGATTGCTTCCGGGGAGAAGGCGAGATAGTCCTTCCATAGCCTCTGGCCTACTGTTTTGTTGCTCTCCATCAGTGGCCGCGTGCCACTGTCGGGGGAGAGGTGGTAGAGAGAGCAAGGGGGGGAAGGAGGAAAGGGAGAGAGGCAGCGGGTGCTGAGTGGTCAGCAGGAGCAGGAGCAGGAGCAGCAGCAGCAGCAGCAGGCGTGTGTGGTGGTGCCAGAGGTGTCTGAGGTGGACCATGGAAGATACTTCCAGGAAGATGATGATGGAAGACCAGGGCGAGGGAGAGGGCTCACAAGGTTGAGCATGAGAGAAAGAGCCGGGGCGGCGAGGATCTTGTAGAGGTTGTTTCCCATCAGACCCCACCGCACCTCACCGCAGCCCACCCTACAGCACCCCACCAACTCACTAGTTATTGCCGACTATAATGGAGCGGTTGAGCATGAGAGCAAGCGCCCGGGCTGTGAGGATCTTGTAGAGATTGTTGCCCAGATCACCACACTTCACCACAGCACGCCCCACCAGACCCTGCCACACCTCACCGCAGTCCGCCCGACCACAGCCAACCACAACCCACCACGCCCCACCACATCTCAGCCAGATCACTCACTAGTTCTCGCCCACGATAATGGAGCGGTTGAGCATGAGAGCAAGCGCTGGAGCCGTGAGAATCTTGTAGAGATTATTGCCTAACCCTTCGTGCTTGCCATAGCCCAGCACGAAACCCCTCTGACAGAACTCGTGAGAGGGCAGCGCACGCACAGTAGAGGCACCTGCAGAGGAAGGGGTGGAATGGGAAGAGAGAGAGGGTGGGGCTGTGAGGATCTTTGTAGAGGTTGCTCCCTCCCTCCCCAGCCCCTCGTGCTTGCCATAGCCCAGCACGAAGCTCCTCTGACAGAACTCGTGAGAGGGCAGCGCACGCAGCGCAGAGGCACCTGCAGGGGGCACGCAGCGGGTGGGAGTGAGGAAGAGCTTTATTCATGTACATGTACATGTACATATACACATACACATACACATACACATACACATACACATACACATACACATACACATACACATACACATACATATACATATACATATACATATACATATACATATACATATACATATACATATACATATACATATACATATACATATACATATACACATATACATATACATAGACATATTCATATACATATATCTATACGTATACATATACATATCACGTATCACATATAAATAATCACCACGAACCTTACCACCACACACCACCCACCGTGAACCGCCAGGTGTAGCTCAATCATTCGCCGCAGCTTCAGACTAGCCACATCGGTGCTGCCAGCTGTCGCCTCGCCCATCTCCGCCACGTTGGCACACGCCTTGTCCGCCGTCCACCTCGGCTCCGGCGGTTCAAAGGGCGGCTCAGAGGCCCCTCCTCCTCCTCCTCCTGCTGCTGCTGCATGTCTCATCCGCCACAATGCCTTCAAACGCTCTTTCTTCTTCTCCTTGCCTCGTCCGGCCTTCTTTTCCTTCTTTGCCTTGAGCTTGCTTCGCCCCTGGGTCTTCCCCCCTCCTGACTTGTGCTTCCTTTCCTCCTCCTCCTCCTCCTCCTCCTCGTCTGCACCCATTCCCTTGAACCCAATAAGCTTGCCAAAATCGCCCATACTGCGGCTGCCACCCCGTCCCGCCCCAAAGCCTGCTTCCTCCATATCGTCGTCTAGTTGCTCCTCCTCTGCTTCCCCCGCCTCCTCCTTGTCTGCACCCACTCCCTGCAAGTCAACGAGCCTGCCCAGGTCACCCATACTGTGACTGCCACTGAGACTGCCATACCTTCCCGCCCCAAACCCCGCTTCTTCCAAATCGTCTTCTAGCTCATTCTCTGCTTCCTGTAACCCCGCCTTTGCTTCCCTCTCCACTTCCCCCTCTGCTTCCCCGTCTGTTTCTCCCTCTGCTTTCTTGAGTTTCAATCCAGCTACAGCGCTGCTCTTTCTTGCCCCAAGTCCCCCTTCTTCCATCTCACCCTCAAGGCCCCTCCCATTGTTCCACCTGCTTTTATCCCCACTGTCCCCCTCGCTTCCCTCCTCCTCCTCCCCTTCCTCGTCCTCTTCCTCCTCTTCCTCCTCCGCCTCCTCCTCCTCCTCCTCTTCTCCCTCTTCCCCAATATCATAATCATCCAGCCCCCCTTTCCCCTCCCCTTCGCCTTCTCTTTCTCTTTTCCCTAATCCCTCCTCCACTAGTTCCTTCTCATATTCTCCCTTCTCCTCTTCCCCCTCGCCCTCCTCGGACCCTTTCCCTCCTCTCTCATAGTAATCCCCTCCCTCGTACCCGCCCTCCCTACCTTCTTCCTCCTCCTCCCCACCCTCCCTTCGATCTTTCCCACCCTCTCCCTCCTCTTCCCCATCCTCCTCCCTTTCCTCCTCCCCAACCTCTTCCCCCTGCTCCCCACCCTCTCCCTCCTCCTCCCCATTCTCTCCCTCGTCCTCCTCCCCATTCTCTCCCTCCTCCTCCTCCCCATCCCTCCTCTCTCGCTCACCACTCTCGCCGCCTTCCTCATCCCCCCCAGCCTTCACTCTACCCACGCTTACCCTCTCTCTCCTACCTCCCACCCCTTCCCTTTCTCCCTGAATTCTCGCTCCTTCTCCTTCCTCCCCTCTACCTGCCTGAAGACCATCACTTTCAACCCCTTCCTCCCCTTCCCCTTCCCCTTCCCCTTCCCCGTCCTTCTCCTCCCCGTTCCCCTTCCCCCAATCTGAAACCCCCCCATCCGCAACCCCCCCTTCCGCAACCTCCCCTTCCGCTTCCGCCTTTCCCTGAGCACCACTCTCAAATCTCCTCCGGTCCCCACCCCCCTCCACCTCGATTCCCCCTTCCCCCTCAGCTTCCCCCGTCCCCCCAATTCCCTCTTTCCGCATGCCACTCCCCCTTTTGCCACGCCTAGGCCACAGCTCTCCCGCATCCCGCCAAGACATCTCCTGCCCCGGCCACCCACCCTCCAGCATAGCGCCAACCATTGCGAGCTGCTCCTCCCGCCCATCCCCCTCCCAATCCCCATGCTCCCTTCTGTCCTCGCTCTCATTTCCCCCCTCACGCTCCTCCCCCTGCATTCCCCCGCTCCCGTCAATCGCATTCCTCACACTCTCTCCCACGGAACTGCTACCACTCCCCTCCTCGTCCTCCTCGTTCCGCTCCTCCTCCTGTTTCCCCGCGCGCCCCTCTTTTCCCCCCGCCTCCTGTGTCCCCTCCGCCTTTTCAATGCCGCCACGAACTGGAGCGGTGATATCCCCTCCGGATTTTCCCTCCTCTTGCCTACCTTCGACTCTTCCTCTCCCGGATTTTTCGGGCTCTTCGCCCTCGAGATTTGCAGCTAGCCATCTCTTTTTTATCTCAGCCGTTGGATGTGTAAGGAGATCCCCACCGTGGCTGATGTGGCCCTCGCTTTGCGCGCTTTCCGGCCCAGATTCCGTAACGGACACTAGATTCTGATCTTCAGTTCCTCGTTGAATTTCGCCGTCTACAGTCAAGTGTGACAGCTTCGCAATGTGGTTACCCGGTTCATGGAGTTTCGTATGCCCGAGCAGATGAAAAAGGAAGGCTGCGAAGAAAATCGCAAACCATGTGACTATATTGAGATTGTTACCACACAGACTCGAAAACCACCCTCGGTGCTGATGTCTCGTCTTGCTGTGCGAATTCAGGTGAACGTGCGAAATCGTGTGCGACGACGCGTGCGAACGAGTGTTCGGAGGACTTTGCGACAGGTTGTGCGAGTGAGCGCCTGGGGGTGACCGAAGGTGAGTGCACGGGAGGGGTTGTGACTGTAAGCGAGTGGGACGCTCTTGGCGGATCTTCGCCGGGTCCTTCACCACTACGGCCGGACCCATGTGATTATATCGAGCGACGCGGCACTTGATTCGAGGACGAGGACGTTGCTCGGAATAAATAAATATAGTCGCGTTAAGCCGTCAGTCAAAATAAATAGTGCTAATGTACAGCTCGTAAGACGGATGCCGGCCAGCTGGCAGGAGCTATGGTGATCCTAGACAACTGCGAGGCGATCCGTTCCATTTGTTTTCAATTGATGCTGCTCAAGGAGAGTTGTTTCAGCAGGAAGGCTGAACGGAAAGCAAGCTAGGAGATTCGCCTCATGCTGCCGACCTTGATATTCTGGAATCGCCATTACCAGTAGAGACTGAAAGCGAAGGCTTGTTCGTCGTGAATCGTGATTTGTAATCGACGGCACATAGCCCTGGGCATTCGGAAGCAAGCGCAAATTCCAGGCTTGGGTCTGGTTCGGACTGCTTGCTGGTTTGACACTGGTCTGGACTCAAATGGGAGATTCCCAAATTTGGCCTGGTTTGGGCACGTCCTTCGGCTCGGCACAAAAACTCTTCGTTCGGTTCGGCTGAGCCATTGAAGGGAAGCCGTACATGACTAGTATGCCTGGCGATTTGGCCCTGACGGATTTGGTCCAGGGAAGTCGAGCTTGGCGGATCGAAGCCGAATTCGTCGGCATGGATCTCGGTATGGTAACAGCCGCGCAGACATGGTATGGTGGGTTTCATGGAGCATTACGTGATGCTGTCACCACCACTCACGACAGTCGCACGCTTGCTTGGCGAAAAGTGCGGAAGGTGAACCCAGTAGGACGCGGTTCGCAACTGGCGAATATGTGCTGCTCGAGAAGCGGGGAATAAGCGGATGGTCACTAACAAAGACCTCGATAAGAACCTACTGTCAACGGAAAATCGTGAACGATCAGCATTATTAAACATTCGTTTTTGCGTTTGGTTTCTAGCTGGCGGATTTTCAAGCAAAATGAAAGATTTCAATTTTATCGGTTACATTACTACTTCATTCTGCGGACGTAAGAAATACAAATTAATGTAGTGGTATGCTCTTATTTATGTGTGGGACTAGAAGACCTCTTGTCTATGTGAGTGGTTTTATATAATAGTAATAAAAAATACGGACAGACTTCTGTTGTGGGTAATCCATCAAGAAGGTGGATTAGTCATCTTAAGCAGCAAAGCGCTAGTGTATTTAGAGTTAATACTAAATCGAGGATTCTTACTAAGGCGCATATTCTCTCGACATGTGATGACACGTCGACACCTTATCAGTAAGAATGCTACGTGTGATCTCAACAAGCAGCGATGGGTAAGGAGAGTGCTGCACAGAATTTCTGGCCGTCGATGAGAAATCACGAGGTGGTGATTGCTACCCGCTGCCGTGGCGACCATTTTGTGCGGAGCCCCTATCACCACCAATAAGCTGGCGTCAACAAACCAAATCGCTATGGCGACCGCCGTCCTCCCGAAACGCCTTCAATACTTCTGTTACCACATGTATGCTTTTTTGGGCAGCCTCTGGTCCAGAACACCAGTGAATCAGCGAGTTTGTGGTGTCATCAGCCTTTAGGATAAGTTTTTATTTTAGTAGTTTCTGTCACGAATCGGGGTACTCATACTGGGTGCATGAAGACCGAACCCATTGTGCATAAGTCCGAGTCACTCACGAAGGGAATGTTTGTGTCGAACTCCCTGAAAGCCATCTGATTTAGGAGGAAGAAGGCAAAAGCAACATCCTGTTAGAATTACTAGCTAGGTGAGAATGTCGATTAGGTAAGGGAGGGGGATACAAGACTATCGAGAGTGAAATGTTGTACCCTCTAAGGAAAGAACCCTACACAACCTAGAGTGAAATGAACAGAACAATATATGTTTTGACACACCCCCATAGGTGAAGGAGGGGATAGCCAAACATAACAGTGGTCACAAGACCAGACAAGCAAGAGAACAAGCAAGGCAAAGCTCAGGGTGGATCTCAAGGACACCACACAATCTGAGCACAAGCAGGCGGCCACAAGGCCAGTTCACATGCAGAGTTATAATAGCAAGGCAGTACACTGATCACAACCTAGCAAGAGTAAACATGCAGGTATAAAGATATATAGCAGTGTACAACAAGAGCAAGTCAAGCAACCAGCAGGTGAGGCAGAGTGGGCACAAGCCCAAGAGCAGTGCTGAAACGCTGATGATCACCAGACCCAAGGGCCTTGGTGAAGACATCAGCAGTGTTGGCCCGAGAGGCCACGTAAGCAAGGCGCAGCTGACCACGCTGCTGCAGCTCACGCGCAAGGAAGTAGCGAAGAGCAATGTGCTTCGTTCTGTGCTCCAGTCTCTGCTCGCGACACAAGGCAAGCATTGCCTTGTTGTCGACGTACAGAGCTGGAGGAGAACGAGGCCGCTCCCCCAAGTCGGTCAGCAGGTAGGTCAGCCAGCGTAGCTCCTGTGCAGCCATGGCCCCAGCCGTAGATCTCGGCCTCACAGCTGGAGCCAAGCACAGAAGAAGAACGAGTGGACCTCCACGAGACAGAACCAAAGCCAAGACTGAAGGTGTAACCCTGTGACGAACGCTGAGTCGCCTTGTCGTCGGCCCAAGAAGCGTCAGAGTGTCCTGTGAGTACCACTGAACCCTGTCCTCCAAGCACGAGCCCCATGCCCGATGTACTGCACAAGTAACGCAGTACCCTCTTCGCAGCATCCCAGTGCACCTTTCGGTGTCTACCGGGTGCCACGTAGCGAGCCAGAAGGCTGAGAGGGTACGCGAGGTCAGGTCGAGTGCACGTCATCAGGTACATGAGGCAACCCACAAGCTCTGGGTACGGACCACTCGGCTCTACGGACTCGTCCGAAGGTGGAGCTGAGAGCGAGTGGCCGGTAGACAGAGGAGTGGGCTGTGGCGAGGAGAACTGGAAGCCGAAGCGCTGAAGGACCTGGTGCACCATGTGTGACTGAGTCAGGGTGATGGTGCGCCGTGCTCTGTCCCGGGTGATCTGCAAGCCAAGATAGCTCCGCAACTCACCCAGGTCAGTGCAGGTGTGTCTCTCCTGCAGCTCCGCCTTCACTAGGGCCAGTGCCTCAATGTCAGCAGTAGCAAAAACCAAGTCGTCAACGTACACGAGGATGTAGAACGGCGGCAGAGAAGTGTCGGTGCGTAGAAACAGCGACATGTCAGCAGTGGAAGGAGCAAACCCAAGAGCCGCAAGTGTCGTCCTCAGTGTGTCGTGCCACTCGCGGGGCGCCACGCAAGCCATACACTGGTCGCCGTAGGCTCCACTGGGTACCCTCAGGAAACGACCCAGTGAAGCCCGGTGGACGGCGCAACCAGATGGCCTCGTGAAGGCTACCCTGTAAGAAAGCTGTCGAGAAGTTGAGAGAGTGCAGCTCGTAGTCACGCTGAGCTGCAACGTGTAGCAACACCCGAAGAGTGGTCATCTTCGGGGTGGGGGAGAAGGTCTGAAAGAAGTCGACCCCCTTACGCTGACTGAAGCCTCGAGCAACGTAACGTGCCTTGAAGGCAGGCGGAGAACCCGGCGGCCGCTTCACCCTGAAAATCCACATGCCACTGACGATGTTCGCCCCAGGTGGGGGAACCTCGTCGACGTAGGTGCTTGTGGACTTCCAGGAAGCCATCTCTGCGTCCATGGCTGTCTGCCACTGAGAGGAGTACTCACCCGAAATCGCCTCCCTGAAGGAGCGCGGGGTGGGGATGTCAAGTGCATCCGGGTCTCCCTCAGGGGCAAGCAACATGGTCGCGTGATGGGGTGAAGCGGCAGCAAGGCACTCCAGCTCCTCCTGTCTGTCCTCAAGAACGTCACAGCCAAGGGCAGTACAGCCAAGAGCAGTCTCACCCCCGACGGACGGGGGACAGGCAGGGACAGGGTCAGAGACAAGACTCGCAAGGTAGTCTAGGCGGTACACAGCAGCAAAGTCAACGAGCTCAGCTACTAGGGCAGACGCAGCAGGAGACGAGAACGTAGGGTCCGTCACAGCCGTAGCAAGAAGGCGAGTAACAGTCGGACTGGACGCACGAGCAAGGTCAGACGGAGGGTCAGCAACGTCAGGCAGAGAGGACGCAGGAGGTAACGGTAGGACAACACGCTGAGGAACAGAGGAAGGACGGAGTGTCATATCGTGAGTGCCGGGGACAACCGGAGCACGCTGACGACGAACACGAGGAACACGAGCACGGACATCAGCTCTAGGCTCAGGCTCAAGGTCAAAGCTAGACTCAGGCTCTCGACGCTCAGGGGTGGAAGCACGAGTCTCAGGCTCTCGACGCTCAGTCAGGGACTCTGACACCGCAGTGTAAGGAGCAAGAGCAGGCAGTGGGGAGTGTGGTAGCAGCGGTGGCTGTGACTGGTCCGCCGGTGGACACAGCAACGGAGGAGTAGTACCTGCCACAGGGAAGCCAGTAGCACCTGGCTGAAGTCTGAGAAGGTGGCGAAGAGCACCAGTAGCTCCACCAGGACCTCCAGCACCTCCAGCACCTCCAGCCCCAGCAGCTCCAGCACCTCCAGCACCAGCAGCACCTCCAGTACCAGCAACACCAGCAGCTCCACGACCTCCAGCACCAGCAGCACCTCCAGTACCTCCAGCACCAGCAGCTCCACGACCTCCAGCACCAGCAGCACCTCCAGGACCTCCAGCACCCGCAGCACCTCTAGGACCTCCAGCACCCGCAGCACCTTCAGTACCTCCAGCACCAGTAGCT